AGAGTAGTGAGGGTCTCCCTCCTCTACAGGGAGATCGTTCCATAGGGCTGGGGCAGCAACAGAGAAGGACCTCCCCCCGGGGGGGGGGTCACCAGCCGACATTGACCCTCCGATGGTACAGGAGGTGGCCCAATCTGTGTGATCTAATCGGTCTTTGGGAGGTAAATGGCAGGAGGCGGTCTCTCAGGTAGCCAGGTCCTAAACCATGTAGGGCTTTAAAAGTAACGACTAGCACCTTGAAGCATCTTGGCAACTTTAAGACTTGTGGACTTCAACTTCAGAATTTCCAAGCCAGCATGGTTGCCTGAGGAATTCTGGGAATTAAAGTCTACAAGTCTTAAAGTTCCAAGTGTGGATAGCTCTGGTTTAGAACAAGGCAATGCTTTATATGGATGTTTATGTTAATTTGGTATCATAATTATGCATCATCACTCTCATGTCTAAGCACAAACTATACTGTGTATTCTATCATTTTCCATTAATGCTGCTGTCTTTTTTCACTTGAAATGTTGCATTATTTATGGCTATTAGACTCCCTTTCCAATTTCCATTTTCCCATTTCAGTGCAAGAAGGATGGCTTTCCAGCCCCAAACTGAATTGTTTCCTTTAAACAAATATAAAAAGGGAGATGGTTTGTTTACCAAGTCTATTTATACTGAGAAGCAAAGTACTGTAGGCAGGTTGCTATCTATCACTTTTTCTCTGAAAAGGTAGACAAACTTACAAAGAAAGCACTGAATAAGTCGGTCACAGTTCTTGTTTTCTAAGAATGCCTCTGGAGGATAAGTCAGGCTTAGAAATATTTTTGTGAATAAATATAGGAGAGTAATTTGCAGCATGCAAGGTTCTGCTTTTTAAAAAAATCAAAGAATCTAATTGAATCAGGTGTGGCAGAGAGGTGTTCATGAAATTAAATCAATTATCTAGTGAAACAGTTTTTGTGACCCTAATTTGGAGCAATGATTACAGGAGATTAGGACCAAGGAGCTTCTGTGTTTGGTCATGGAAGAGAGTAGTCATTCTCTATTAATTCATTCTAATTTATAGGATGTGGGTGAAGGGAAAAGCATGGATGAGGAATTTATTCCTAGAGAAAAGGCAGGCTATAAATCTAATAAATAAACCAGTCCTTTGAGGTAGTCCAAACAAGAAGTATTGTGAGTACTTTTAACGCTACTTGTATTGTAGGGTTACGGTAACAGAATCTTCCAAGTCGGAAAGTCCTGTGTTGCCCTTCCCCCCTGCACACACCTTTATTATCATGAAAACTAGGAAGAGTCTCTTCTGCAGAATGTTTTATCCCCATTCCTCCTTAAGATTGTGTTTATCAGACTGTTACCTTGGCTGCAACTTTCCTTCTGTCTTCTAACATTCTCATATACTATTGCAGTCATGTAGAATGAAATGGAATGGAATGGAATAGAATAAAATAGAATAGAATAGAATAACAGAGTTGGAACGTACCTTGTAGATATTCTAGTCCAAACCCCTGCTTAGGCAGGAAACCCTATACCATTTCAGAAAAATGATTGTCCAATCTCTTCTTAAAAACTTCCAGTGTTGGAGCATTCACAACTTCTGGAGGCAAGTTGTTCCACTGATAAATTGTTCTAACTGTCAAGAAATTTCTCCTTAGTCCTAGGTTGCTTCTATCCTTGATTAGCTACTGTAACTTATCTACAGTAAGCATATGCTTTATTGGCTATTAATATTGGCTAATTGATTCTGAGTGTCAACAAGGTTTACCTCAAAGAAAATCAAAATTAATATTTTGATATTTCCTAATTGCTTTTTCCTCCTACAGTATCCTGACTTGCTATGAGTATTCCCAACCATTCCTTGATGGGCCCTTTCAGAGGACATATGAGTATTAAAAGCAGCGGTAAGTATTTAACATTTTCAACAAGATAAATGTTATGTATTCCAATCTAATATTCTTAATAATGCAAACTGTCTGCAGAAATGACAAAAATACTCCTATTTACTTCATGTATTTATTCTCTCCTTCAAAATGAAAATAGGTAAAAGTTCAAATATGTAAGTAGATACCATTTGAATAACATATTGGGATGCTTAAGATGATTCAGAATAAATAATTTGTTACAGTGTTTCTCAACCTTGACAGCCTGAAGAGGTGTGGACTTCAAATTCTGGGAGTTGAAGTCCGTACCTCTTCAAGCTGCTTCATTCAGTGATTTTCAAAACAATTTCAAATTATTTCTTTAGAAATGTAGGATATGATTTGTAACGGTTTAATTTTTCAGGATCATTATTTCATCCATATTTGAAAGTCAGATAAGTAATTATAGTAAATAGGCATTAGAGTTTAGGGAAGTCAGTAAACTAAGTTTGGATTAAAATATCTGCAAGGCACCTGGAAATACCAAGTGTAGACCAAAAGCATAATCAATGGTGTCCTATCTTAGAAAAATGTATAATGGATATAATGGAACGTTTTTGGTTTTGCAGTTTTGATTGGGTTTCACAGCTTTGAACTGATATCTTGCTTTTGGCAAAGTACGCATCATTTCAATGTTTATAAAACCAAAAGATTATTGAATATGTACTGTATATTTTTCAGAGTATAAGACACACCTTTTTCCCTCAAAAAAGAGGCTGAAAATCTGGGTGTATCTTATACACTGAATACAGCATTTTTTGCCTCCAGAAACCCTTCCTCCTTCATCAAAATAGCCATACATAGCTTGTAGGAGGCTTTTGGAGTGCTCCTGGGGGCTGGGGAGAGCAGAAATGAGCAAAAAATGGGCTGTTTTTT